TGGCACGGGGCTTGGGCACTGTGCACACACCTGCACACCCCTCAGTGTGCAGGAGAACACCCAGAATATCCTACAGAGTCCTATCCAGTCGCACGTACTCTCAACCCTCCCTCCACGTGAAATGAGTCCAACTGCCCCACTCCCAGCTGTGAGCTGTTCCCTGCCTCCAGCAGGCCTCTCCCAGGCCTCCACCTCCACAGGCACCAACTGGGAAAAACCAGCTCCAGCCCAGCAGCCGCTGGACCTGGGAAACAGATAAGAGTGTGCGAGGGGAGCAGATAGGAGGGACGGTGAGGGCTGCTTTCCTGCTGGCCTTTCCCAAAGCAAATGAGCAATAAGCTGGCACCCAGCACTGCTAATTGCAAGGGGAAATTCTGACACTCTGATGAGTTCTTTCCACAGCAGAGAAAGGAAAATGCACACTTGGGTCTCTTGTTCCATCTTGGCCTTTCTCGCTCCAAGCCAAGCTCTATAGAAACAGCTGAAAATGATTTGTTTGTTATTCTCCCATGGATGAGTTTCTGCTTTTTTGTATGCTAAGAGGATGTGGCAATCCCAGCACAATGCTGAGGTAATTCTGAGGCAAAGAGAGAAAGGCCCCAAGCTCAGCCCTGCCAGGAGAGAGGGTTTGCTCCTCTCTCACAGCCCCAGGTTGCTGGGGACCTCCTGGGGACCCAGCTGGAGCTGGTCTCTGCCTGGAGGAGGGGGCAGAGCCACAGCTCAGGTGATGTCCCCAGCTGGGAGGATGTCTGGGAAGCTGATAAGGTCTTTTAGCAACTGTGTGCTCAGTCTCCAAGCCTGACTGTGGCTGAAAATAGACCCAAGGAGAAAGCCTATCCTGTCTGATACAGACACTGGCCTGCACAAGGGTCCACCCAAGAGTCAGTTCAGCTCTAAAATGTGAGAAATTTGTGTTTTTTTGCCTAACCTTTGATCACCAACCTAGCAAAAACATTGAAGACATTTCCTAAACAGGAAGGCTCAATGCTTCTTTGTTATTTCCCTCCTTTTCCAGCCCCTGCCCAGGACTCTGAAACAATAGGGCTCTTCAGGCGCCTGCTTCAGTCTGAGCATTGGAGGGACTTGCCATGCAGTCCAGAGCCTAAATTTAGCTTTCTTTAAATGCCATTTGCAAGGGTTGCTAATGGTATCTTCATTTAATTTAATCTCATTAAGTTACGGAACAAGAAATAAGCATCTCCGTTTGCCAGGTGTTGGTATTGGGGCCCAAAGCAGTGGGAGGTGAAGGGCTGACCCCCCCCAGCCCAGCAACCTCAGTCTCTTGTGGTTGCTTCTGCTCAGGTTTGTGCAGCACAGATAAGGCACCGAGCACAGGGCACTGCACAGCACTGCTGGTACTATCATCAGCACAGCTGGGATGGAGGATTAGTCAGTTCGGTTGGTTGAATGGCTCTTTGTTTGAAACTTCTGCAGAAAGATTTTTTGGAGGTGAAGGGACTGGAACTGTGGAGAGTGATATGTGAAGGGAGTACCCACCGTGTTCCCTCCCCCTGCCAGATCAAGCTGGCCAAATCCGAGGTGGACCGTGACTGCATCCTCCTCATCCTCGTCGGGGAGAGAGGTCAGTGCAGAAACCTTTGGCTGTCATTGACATGGGAATCACTGATGACCTTGATGTGGGCAATGGGAGAGGGGAACTGGGTGCGGAGAGAGGCTGTGGGACACAAAGCCTTAGTTACAGCCTGGAGGAGATTTCTCTCCACAGCTGCTGCTCTGCCTTCTGGGATCTTACCAGATCCATGGATCTGTGGTGGTGGCTCCAGAGCAAGAAGGGCCTCATGGCTCTTCTTTGTCCAGCAGTGACCAGGCTGTTGTTGGCATGCCAGTGTTGCCATTAGCTGCTCTGTGTGACGTGCCTCTTCTGTTTGAAACCTTGCAGATCCTGCTACAGACATGCTCCAGGAGACTCACTGGGAAAAGGTAAGTTCCTTGAGCAAATTCAGCTGGAAAAATTTAATGGCCTGAGCAGGTAGAGAAAGGAGATATTCAGTTGGTCAAGTGAGGATGGAGCAGATGGCTGAGACTTGAACCTGCCTCTGTCTTGGGGGCATTTGTTGAGCATTGGCACATGAGATGGTTGGAGCCATCTCACCCCAGGAGCACTAACACCACCTCTGAAGGCAGAAATGCTTGAAACAGTTACTGTAAAACTTGGTAGAAATTTCTTTAAAAAGGACTAGATGCCAACAATAACTCTTAGGGTGTAACTGGCACTCTGCTTCTTCAAAGTACCATGCTGACATTAATTAATTCCTCTTCTCAACACTCCAGTGCTGCTGCCATCAGGCTGTAGAGCCTCTGGAAGTGGCAGCAGAGCTGCAGCAGCACGAGGGGATTTCAGCCAGGCAGACACACACTCTGCATCCAAGGGGAAACATTCCCCTGTGCCACAGAAGATGCTTGGATGGGAAATGAGACCGTGAGGATGTGGGAGCTCACAGGGCAAGTGCAAAGCTCAGGAACTGGTGCAGCAGAGCCCCCAACCTTGTTTACGTGAGGTTTCTGAGGGAGGTGAAGGGCAGCATTGTTTGGAGCCTGGTGCCTGCGCAGCAGATGAACACGTTTCCTGTTTGTCCAAATCCCAGCTTTCTGTTTTTATATTTTTCTTTCCCCAGTTTGGAATAAAAGCCCTTAAACGGGGGAGTGTGAGGAACCACCAGAACTTTTCTCAGAAGACCCTGATTGCCTTGGTCACATCTGGACTCCTGCTG